TTTTGCTTCCTCAGTAGGGCAGAGGCTGTGTTTTGGGTTTTACATTTAAAGTCATCTCCATTGGTGGAGGGGACACATGCGCACACATGTACTTTGTGTATCTGTGGGCTGGAGTAAGCAACTATAATATTTCTTATGCAACCAGGGCAATAATTCTAAAACTTACTCTGAGATGAACCTGCATATATTTTTCATGTGACCCCAGACCACACCTGGGGATAGGTACCCAGGATATTGCTCTTTTACAGAGTAGGACATTGAGACTTTCTAAGGCAGGGCTCAGAAAGTTAGTGGCAGTGCTGGTCCTAGAAGCCAAGGTCCCTAACTCCCAATCACAGCCCAGGGCCTGATGCTCTCTGCGCCTCTTTTCCAGCTCTCTCCTGATGATCCTGGAGCAGCCAAGGGGGTGACCTCTGCCATCTTGTGCACTTTCATCATCTTGGGGTTGAGGAGACCCTGTCTTTGGCTTCCTGCCCCTCCCCATCCTGTCCCACTGCTTTCTCCTCATGTCCCCCCACGGCACTACTGGCACACAGTCGCAGACACAGGCACTCAGAACACAGGTGTCTAGGGCAACAGACCACAGGGGAAACCACATCACCTTTGTTGACTCTGGAGGGAGGTAGGGGGACGGGGGAAGGGACTTGCTGAGTACTCTCCACAGACCTCAGTCCCCATAATGATCTCTCCTCCCAAACCTGAGCAGTGAGGACTTACAACCATGCCCCAGTCTCTTCTTGATTTATCCATTAGATTCTGGCTCCAGGGGACATATTGCCTCTTCTCTCAGATCCTGAAATCATGGATAGGGGACTCTGCCTGTCTGTACCCCAAAGCCACCCCGATCCCCAACCCTAGCCAGAATACTTAGAAATTTCCTCTGATCTGTGCAATGCAATAGAGAAAGGTGAGCCCAGGGATGAGACCACATGGCTGGGGTGAGCCAGGTAGGAAACTTGACATTGAGAAAACCCCATAGGTCAGCCAAGACCTCTAGTAACCAGGCTACACTGGGGCAGAAAACCTGGCAGCCTGCTTCATTGTTTTGACATGCTAGAAGAAATTGCACAGGCTCAGAATCAGACACAGGCTCAGAATTGCACAGGCTCTGAATCAGGATTAAGTCTTTTACTGGCTCTATGGCCTTGGGGAAATCACTCTGATCTGAGCTGTCATTTGCTCCCTAAAACAATGGGTAAAGTAACAAAATGTAAGAGAAAGAGCCTTGGACAGCATGTGACATAAAGGTGATGCTTGATAAATCCTAATTTTCTCCCTCCCTTTCTTCTCTCTGTCCCTTCCTTATTGTATCTGGTCCTGCTTCCTCTTATTATATCCGGTTCAGCTTCCTCTTATTATATCTGGTCCCATGAAACCCTTTGTTTGGCTTTGGGGACCTTCCTCCCTTATTAATCTGCAAGTCCCAAACCCTGTGAATTGTATTTGATGCCTGTTTCAGAAACTGAAACGCAAAGCCCAGCTCAAGTCCAGTGAGATGGCTGTCCGGGGTCTCCCGAGGCCTTGGGAAATAAGCACTTTCTGACCAGCTGTGTAGAAAATGCATGGTAAGAGCAGGTTAGGGGAGGGATCTTGGTCACACTAGAAGGTTGGGACAGGGGTTGTCTGAGAGCCCTGAGGTTTAGACCTCAGACTTTCTAGAGCTTTGAATTCTGGCACAAAGTAGGCACCTGGCAGTTTTGACAAATGAATGAATGTTGAAAGTTGTGTAACAGTGGTCAAGTTTCTAAAGCTTTATGAGCCAATTTTAATCATGAACATAACAGGGATTATGTTAAGAATAAATGATCCAATGCTTGCTAAGGGGCTAGCACAGGAATGCAACATGACAACTAGTCAGTGGAAGGTAGCTAACTAAGGAAAGGAGAGGAGAAAAAGAAAAGAAAGAGAAGGTCAAGTAGGCACAGAACCTCAAATGGAAGCAGGGCTGAGGGAAGTGCTTCTAGGCTTTGCACTGGACAGAGACTCCAGGAAGATGAGAAGAAGCCCTGGCAGGACCTGGGGTGGGGGGTGGGGGGATAATCTCTCCTCAGGTGCTTACCTGAGCAGTCTGTAAAAGAATTGGACTCAAGATCCTTAAGAAAACCTTCCCATGGTAACCAGGGTAGAGGAGAGAGAGGTAACCTACATTTTTCTGCCTCATGTCTCTTAGGACTTCTGGGAGCTAACACATCCTAATAAGGGATATATGACTTAAGACTGTCATGGGAGGCAGTAGTGGTGACTGAGTGGAAGGAAGATGGTGGTTGAGTGGCAAGGGGAGGAGGGACACAGTCAGCTTCCCAGATGCAGACCTCACATTCTGTCTCTCTATCCTTTGGGGACAGGATGCCTAGAGTGTATAAAAATGTTCTGGATCTGTGAGGACAGAGATAGGGGGAGATGTCTCAAATCTCTCAGGACTCAGTGATTAGGTCAAAAGAAAATGAAGGCTCACAGACACGAGTACGTGAATGATGTACATGGTAGAAATGTACATGGTTGAAATGAGCAAACAAGGCCCTGAATCAGACCAGAAAAAATGCCTGCAAGACTCCAGGGGTCACTAGGTAGGATATTGTGGAGCTGGAGGAGCAAGACAGCAGGGGAGAGGCTGGGATTGTGGAGTAATTAGATATTTTTCTGGAGTCCATAGCACTGAAAAGGGATTTGGGAGATGGATGATCTGGGTTGAAGTGAGGGCTGGAGAGCACAACCCAGAGGTGGAAGAACATGTGTCTTACAGCTTCAGCATGGGGAGTCATGAGAAGAAAGTGTTTATTTCTGAGTTTATAGCTAGAGGATGATCTTTGAAGGCCATGGACACCTGCTTTAGTTCCTACCATCATCTTCCTTCCCAATTCAACAAATAACTCACGAGGAATTTCAATTTGGTGCAAGGCACTTAGGAAAACACTACAGAAATGCACCCGTGATTAGGCAGTAGCTGGGCCCAGGAGATGTACAGTCTTGAACATTCTCCAAATGAAAGAGGAAAATTGAGACAGGTAGACTAGATGGATGAAGGTTAACATACAGAGAAGCACTGATAATATGCTGGTGGGGGGGCGGGTAGTTTAAGGAAAGGGAAGAATCCCTTTGGCTTTGAGAAGCTAGAAAGACTCCTGGAAAAGGTGGTATAGACTTTGAGGATCAGAAAGATTTCACCAGGAGGAGAAAGAGACTGGGAGAACATTCATTTTAGAGGGAACATGAATGACCAGGGCAAGGGAGTGGGAAAGATAAGTTTGGGAAACAGCCAGCAATCCAGTTTGGCTGAACTAGTAATAATAGCAACCAACGTTATTGAGCACTAAGTAGCAGAGGGCCCTGGCAGGAGACAGAAAGAAAGTGAGGAAGAGAGAAGAGAAGAGATTGAGAAAGAGGTGTACTGTAGTGACAAGTTGTAGGAGGGCTTGAATACCAGGAAAGGAGTTTGTGGGAAAAAGGGATAAGTTCACAAGTGCAGAGGGGATTGGATGGGTCTGCCGAATGAGCCCTGAGACAATGAAAGTGACTGGTAGAAGGTCAGCTGCTAAATATCCCAGGTAGCAGCAGGCCATAAGGCTGGTGAGATGAAAGCTGGGCTTGCAGGAGCGGAGTCTTTGGTTAGAAGTTGGACCTTAGCATTACCACCCCCTCCCAGACCACCATGACTCTAGCTTCCATCTGTTGTGGCTCTGGCCCAGCCTCAGTTTCTCCTGTAGAAATCAGAAGACCCTGGAGGTTCCTAGGGTTGAAAGAGGTAGGATGGGGTCACAGGGAAGATCCGTCCTGCCTTCCAGTGGTCATACCTCAAACTACAGCAGAGCCTGGCATTTGGGGCTGTGGACTCTCTCTTCCCAGGAGGACAGCTTCTAGGAGCCAGCAGATCGCCAGAGGCGACAGGGCTGATGGACAAGGCTGGGAAGCACAATGGAGAGGTCCTCAGCCCCTGACCCCAGAAACTGACCTTCTCATCCTGCTAAAAGGGACGGGGGCAGGGAGGGCTGCTGCGAAGCCAGCCCAGAGCTGAGTTTATTAGCTGAGGGAGGGCTGGAGGCGGCTGCATTCCGACTCACAGACTGGAACATTTCTGTGATCCGCTGTAATGCACTGGGAGACACTGGGCACATTGCTGAAGTTTGACTCATGGGGACCGGGAGGGGAAAAGCAGAGGGAGGTGGGGGGGGGGTGGAAGAGAGGAAGAAGAGACCAGGGAAGGAAATCCCTTGAGAAAGTTCTTTAAAAAAAAAAAAAAAGAAAACTTTCAAAATCCGCACCATCCCCACCCCCTTTTTCTTTTAATAGGAACAGGCTGGACCCTTCTGTTCCCCTCAGCAGGCGTGGAGGGGTGGGGGTGGGGGGCAGCAGAGGGGGAGGGCTGGGCAGTGATTCAAATCAGATCCTGGAACTTTCCTCAGGCAAGTCGGGCGGGGTGGTGGTGGTGGTGTCCGTCTGGGATCCCTCGCCCGGGACGAGGAGCTCCACGCCTGTCCCGCTGTCCTGCGTGTGGCGGTTGCTGGGGGCTGCACGCGCATGGACGTGTAGCCCGGGGGGTCCTTCCCAGAGCGTGTCTGTGCAAACGCTCTGGCCCTGTGTAAACATGGGTGCAAATGCGTGCGCGCTGTGCGTGCAAGGGTGCGTGCGCTCAGGTATCTGGGTTTCCGGGAATTGTGCGCGGGGCGCCGCGGCCGGGGCCGGGGCCGGGAGACAGCGCGGCGGCCGCGCGCGGGTCGGGGCCGCGTCCCGCGTCCCGCGTTCCGGGTTCGGCGCTGCCTCCGGGCCGAGCGCCGCGCCCCGCCGCGCCCCGGCCGCGCGGGGTGCCGGCCTCCCGCCCGGGCGCCGCGCCGCGCCGCGTCTGCCGGGGTGGCGTGTCCCAGGGCCGCGAGCGCCGGCCCCCTCCCTCCCCTCCCCCTTGGCCCGCTCTCAGGCTCAGATAAAGCATTTCCTTCCATTGTCATCCTACCCGGCCGGCCGGGCTGCCAGGGCCCTCCCCCTCCCGGCCCCCTCCCTTCCTCTCGCCGTCTCACAGTCGCTCTGCAGCCTCCGGCGACTGGGGGGATGTGAGGCCGGCGCCCCAGCCCCCCGCCCCGCCATGAGCCCTCCGCGCTGAGGGCCCCGGCCCCTGGATGCACAGCCCCGGCGCTGGTGAGTACTGGGGTGCGCCCCCGGTCCCGCCCGCCCCGCCCTGCGTGCTGCACCCAGCGCCGCCCGCCAGGCTCGGGCTCCGGCTCGGGCTCGGGCTTCGCTCGGCCCCGCGGGTTGGGCCCACCGGGCGCCCCCACGACCGCGCCCGCCTAGTCCGGCTCTGCGGGGCTCGGGTGGGCTCCCGGCCGGGGCCAGTCTCGGGGCCGGAGGACTCGGGCCTCTCGCGGGGCCCCCACATCCGCCTGCCCCGGGGCAGCGACAGGCCCGCGGGAGGGAGTCGGAGGCCCCGGCCCGCCGGTGCACGGGCCGGGCGTCCCATCACCCCAATAGCTCAGGAGGACAGACCCGCGACCGGGGAGGGAGGGATGGCCGCCGCGGCCCCGAGAGGGGGCGGTGCTCCGGGCGGAAGGTTTGGAAGCGCCAGGGCAAAGGGCAGCACCCACTGATTTGGGTCGGGCTCGTGGCAGTGGACATCAGCGCCCCCATTCCGTAGGTCCCCCTCAGGGCTGTACTCTGATCCTTCCGCTGGGGAAAATGGTCCCCTGGAGGTAGGATCGTGGACCGGGAGGTTTCTCTGAGCACCGCCCCCCATCCTTCATCACCCATCAGGTGAAGCGATAACTGCCCGAGTGAGCTTAGGTGGTGCTAGCAAGGGTACGGGGAGAATGGGGGCCGTAGCTGTGTATTGAGTGAGTGGTGGGGGACAGGATGTGCGCCTCCAAAACTGGGGTCTCTTGATGCTGGGGAGTTTGAGAGAGCAAACAGGCAGCAAATCTTGTCTCAGCCCTAATGCCCACAGTTTCTGGGCCTGTGGGTTGGAAGAGAGTCCCTCCCACTTGAAGGCCACCCAATACCTCTACCCCCATTTCTCCCCCACCCCGCGCGGTTGCCCATCCCGAGCTGACCTCCACAGCCACTGCTGCTCTTACCACCAAGTCCAGGCCTTTCCCTTGTCCCTGCTGGCTGCCCGGCATGCCCCCAACCCTCCCTTGTATCTGGATAATGACTGTCTTGCAGCTGCTCCTCCCCACCACCCTACTCAACATCTGCTTGAGGTCCAGCTCTGCCTGCCAGATTCCAGGGTGAGAATGGGGAATCAGCCTCAGTGGCTCTGCTGGACTCAACATCTGGACTCAGGAGACTTTCCCTGGGTCTTGCAGCTGGACTCATGGGAACCTTTCTCAAATTGCCTGGTCAGCATTTCTCCAAGAGAGGAGACTGTGACTCAGTTTCCTACCCACTAATGCAGCACTTTGGTAGCCTCTTTCTCCCCAGCAGGACCCTGTAGGCAGGTCCCTGAAGTGTCTCAAGCTGTCATACCACTTCTCACAGCAACTCTCTTTTATACCTTCCCAGGTTCCGTCTCCAACATCTGTAAGTCATCTTTTAGATCCTCATTCCTTAGCATTTCATTCTCCTTATTCTACACTGCTTCCTCTCCTGACCTCAATAAATAAGTACTCTTCCTCTTCTCTGCAGTCACTTCAGAGGGAAACTGAGGCACAAAGCAGTCCTGCCTTGTACCTAGTGTACCCAGACTTCATCAGTCCTGGACCCGCCGGGACACCTCCCTGACTTTAGTCCTCTGATGGTCCTTGCTGTCCCCCTGGGCAGGTTCAGAGTCAGGCTCAGAGCTGCCTTTCAGGGTTACATCTGGAAGGCCCCCAGGGCCGTGTTCTCCTGAGGCCTCTGGCTCGTCCTCCGCCTGAACCCAGGGCTGGAGGTCTTCTTAGCCACCAGTTCTTAAGCTGGGATCTTGAGGTTGGGAGGTTGCATTCTGGTCTGGCACTGGCCCTTCCAGTGTCAGTGTTCTCTCTGGTGTTATCTTACTTTCCCACCAATAAAATGGGAAAAAAATGTTAAGTGAATTGGTTCATTGTGAGGACTGCTGTGTACCCCTGACGACTTCATGTCCTACAAGGATAATGGATCTCAGTTTTTGTCTTTGGTGGTTTCTGGGCATGAGAGTTGGAACCTTCTCTTCCATCCATTCTTCAACCCTGATATAAAACCCTTGGGTTGTGAGAAACTCTTGTGTGATGGGGGTAGGGGCTAGGACCCTCTTGTAGCTCTAAGCATGCTTGTCCAAGGATCAAGAAGGCAGAAGCCTCTGGAACCCCCATCTCTTATTTGCTTGCTTTCTCCTGGTCTTTCATTAAGCACTGATAATTTTGAAGTTGGGGGGTCTGAGACAAAATGAAATAATACAAGGCCCAGAGTCAGCCAGAGAGGGAATGGCAGATCTAGTAGGACTGGAACCAGACCTCGCTCTCTGCCCATTCTCCTGGCCTCTCCCTCCCTGGACCTGGCTCAGACTCTGGCACCTACCCCTTGTACCTTGGTCCTGCCCTGTCCACAGCCAGACTTTCAATGGGCCTCCAGGGGGTCTGGGGCATTGCTGAAAGTAGGCCCAGAGTGAAGCCTGGGAGCTAGGCTGGGGGTGGGAGTTGAAGGGGGGAGGAGAGAAGGGGGCCCTCTGTCCTCCCCCAGGCTCCAGGGCTGTACATTTGTGTGTTTTGGATTTGTTACGAGATGGGGCACTTCCTCTGGGGCAGGAAGCTTTGATTTCCTGTAGTGGGGGCATTGGTAGGATTAGGTATGGGGGCTCAGCTTGGAGCCATGCTGATGTTGTTGTTTGGACCACAGAGGGGCAGAGTTTCTGCCTGAGGCTTCTTCTCCTAACCCAGGGGAGTCAGGAAGGAAAGCACTGGTGCAAGGCTCAGGCTGAGGCCAGAGAAGGAGGCAGTGGGGGCAATGAGATGGGGGGAGGGCAGTGGTGGCCCCCCCTGTGGTGGGCAACACAGCAGGAAGCCTGGTCAGCAGGTGACCCTGCCGGGTATTGTGTTTCCCTGTAATATTTCCCCCTGTTTCTGTGGTAACCTTGGAGTTGGGGGTGGGGGGAGCCAGGCCTTTAGGCTGCAGGAAGGTGCCCCCAGACAGCCCTTTCCTTAGAGGCCTGAGTAGTAGGAGGAGTTCCTAGATCTAGCCACCTCCCTAACCCTTCTGGCTCTATAGGACCAGGGCCTGGGAATCCAGACAAGTGAGTTGAGGGAGCGCTGATGGAGGGCTGGGTAGAGGCCCATTTGCCTCTCTTTGGGGGAAGAGGGGGAAAGAAGGAACTGCTTTGTGCCTTAGTCCTGTCTCTTCACTGCCCCTCTCCAGCAGCCCTCCCTCACCAGAGGGAGGTAGCCGCAGCCTGGGGCAAGGGATGGGGGTGGCAGAGGTGGGAGGGATGTTTTCATCGCCAGAGCAGAGCTCCTCTGATCCTGGACCAGTTCCCGGAGGCAAAATAAATTCAGAATGGTGTCTGTTTAGTGTGGGTCAACATGTGATGGGTGTGTGTACACACTGGGTGTGTGGTGGGTGCCTGTGTGTGCCCAGCTGTGCATGCAGATGTGGTGGTACCCTGGCGGTTTGGGACCCGTGTGCCGCTCTGTGTTGGATGTTTGGGAGTGTGCACATGTGTAGTACAGATGTGTGGCATCTGGACAGTGTGCACCTTTACACTGTAGGGCTCTGTGTGGGGCATATGACTGTGTTTTGGGGGGTGTATATCTGTGAGGGAGTGGCTTTTTAATAGAAGTCCAGATGTTGACTGGAAAGCACTGTTCCAGCTCTGGTCCTCAAGTGCCAGTTCCCAGGCTGTGTGCTTCAGCATCACCTGGGAATGTGCTGAAAGTGAAGGGCCACAGGCCCCATTCCAGATGCACTTGGAATCTGCAGGGGTGGGGTCTGGAAATGAGGATTTTCACATGTGCTTCTGGTGATTCTGGGGCCAAGCCATATTTGCGGACTGATGATCTAGCCAGCCTCTTCATTTTTTTCTTTTGCGGAAACTAAGACCCAAAGGAGGCGTATGGTTTGTCCAGAGCTACTAAAGGAAGAACCAGGACAAAACTCAAGCCTTTCAAGATACACTTAAAAGGTGTTAAAGAGCAGTAGGACCTGCCTACTGTGTCTTCTGTGTGTGCATGTGTGCACACGTCCACATTTAGGATGATGAAGAGCGCCAGGCGGGCCTGGTACAGATGCTAACTGGGCTTTGACTTTTCCCCTGGATTCCTGACCTTGTTCTTCCTGCTACACCCTATTTCCGCCTCCCTGGGGAAATCCTGGAACTGTTAAGTGTCAATCTTAAAGGTGATGTTGGCAACCAGGAGGCCCATTTCCTGAGCCATTCAGCCATTCACCCATTTTTTTGCCGCTCACTGAGCCCTGCTCTGTGCCAGGCATTGGACACAGATGATGCCATGAACACAATGGTAGAGTGTCTGACCTCAGGGAACTTCCACTCTAGTGGAGACAGTTGCTAACAAGTAAGCAAGTAAAGAAATGAGTATATATATCTGGTTACACATGGTGATAAGCCCTAAGAAGGAAATGAACTGGGTGCAGCAATAGAAAATAACAAGGTAGGACTTCCTTAGAGAGGGTGGCCAGGGGAGGCCTGCCTGAGAAGGTGACACTGATGCTTTCTCTCACCTCCCCAGACCTTCTGAGCCTTGCTTGGGAGCTGCCTGCATCCAGGTGGGGGACCAGGTCTGAGCACTGACTGGCTAAGGACTGCAGCTGAATTGCCAGCCTCCTGCTTGGCATGGAAGACAGCAGGGTTTCTGTTCCTCATGGAGCCCCCAGAGGTTGGCAGAGGGGTGAGGAGGACTGGGAGCTGAATGGGACCCAACTGGAGGCTGTTCCATTGCTTGGAGGAGCAGCCTTTTTCCCTTACTGGGCCCAGCAGGGGCCCCTATGGACCTGCTGGGTTTGGGAAGGCGGAAGCCTCTCTCCAGGAGCTCTCAAAGCACCGCCCCATTCCTGACCCTCCTGCCTCCCCTTCTCACCACCCTGAAGCTGCTGTGCCAAGTCCCTCCCCTCTGAGTCTACCTTAGCTGTTTCTGTGGCCACTGGGATTTATTTACCTGGCTTAGGAATCACTGAGGAGAGAGGGGGGGGTCAAGGCTTAGAGTGAGGCACTGGAAGAGGTCGGATCAGAAAGAAGGGCT